AAATCTTTGTGAAAAAACTCTACGAACTTATGTTACAACCCAATATATCAATCGGTAGGTGGTGCTTGCTTTCCTAGGCCATTATCCTCTCCAATCAGTTGTCTTCGGTTCCTGTCGTTCCCGTTATATCCCTTATCACTTTTCAAAATCCCGAAATTCCACTGCTAGTGAGAGACGCTTTTATTCTATCAAATTTGAACTCTTTAGGCCTACTGGAACGGGAGTTATGAATACCTGTTCAACAACTTATGTCGCGCAACCCCGCTCCTATAGGCGGAGTCGCCACCAACCATAATTGTTCCCATCCTGCCGCCTGTGCTCCCACCAAACTCGAACGTCCTAGGTCCACGGGGACAGTAGTTATGAATTTGCAAGCAGACAGACAGATAGGCAGCCAAACAGACAGACGCGAGCGTTTTATATATACAGGGTGCGCCGTAAATATGGTAACAAAAGAATTGGGCCACAGAAACCGCAGTTCATATTGATACATGGTGAACTCGTGTAAGTTATTTACTATGCGTCGCTTCTACAAAGTTCACCTACGGCCATCTTATATAACCGCCTCCCGTACTAATTATAGCTCGAACACGCTTCGGCTACTCATCGATGGTGGCACGCAGAGCTTCATGACAAACTCTGGCCCGGGCTTTTTTCAATGATTTCTTGAGAGCAACAATAGGGGTGCGTTTTGAGGCACAGGCTTTCCTCTCCAGTAGGAACTATGTCAAGCGACCCATCACATTGTGGTCCGGGGAATTCATCGGAGGATTGGAAGCTGGAATGAAATCGCTAACATTTACCCAGCACGAGTCTTGATCTTTTCCCATTAATGAGCAAATGCGCCGTAGTTTTCAAATCGTATCCCTAGAAAAATTTCATACCCTCAGCTGCATTCTTTCAGAAAAAAACCTTCTTAAAAAGGTTCGGATCAGGTTTTCTACTTTTATCGACCAAAAGTTGCGATATCGCTGTGATGGTAGAGATTCTAGGACAAACCATCATGAAAGAGGACAAATGGCTACGAGACGCTATCTGACTTACCTCAGCGGCTTCCGCACTCTTAGAGTGAAATATACGTATACTTTGGGATCTCAACATTTCTTCCACGCTGAACACCCTTTAATCAGAAACAAGTGTGGCGAAGCGCGTGCCGCGCCATGTAGCGCACGGCCTTTGTTTTTTCTCTCCAACTTCTTCTCGTCGAGAAGCTTCTAAGGCTTTCGAATCTCATCTGGATACAATCGTGTCTACTCGAGGTAGACTCTTCTCATCGGAGTAGAACCTACAAACAGATCAGCAGCCTTTTTATCTCGTGTTTCTGCAGATTCCGCAGCGTACTTCTTCCCAAGCAAGGGTATTCGGAAAAGGGAAACCCGTTTTAGGTTTATCAATGACTTGTCTACGCATCGCAGTTTAAGGGACTGTCGTGAGGGGAATGTTGGAACGAGGAGCGATTCCGGAAAAGGACTCACCAAATGCGCACAAAGAGGAATGGTTGGTGGAAGTCTGCGAGGCTCCACCGTTTTTCGAAATCTGACGAATTGAGAGCACCAAATTAGATATGTGGGGTAAGGGGTATCATAAGCAAAAGTGGAGGTGCATATTTGGGAAAATCCTCCAAACAAGGAAATTACGGACATGCGAAAAGTTGTTACCATGTTTATGGCGCACCCAGTGTTTAGTGATGATCGTAGATCAATCTTTCGTGCATGAAGTATTGGCGAAAGTAGTATAGTGGGAAGTGGCGCAAAATCCCACGCGCACGTTCCCAAGCTTGAATTCCAAATCAATATCTCCCTAGGTCAACAAACCTTCCATATCTCCGGAGTCGCTTAATTGGTACCGGATCGGTCTGGGAGGATCAAAGCACTGACCCGTGCATCGGCTGACTACCGGAAGTCCTTAAAAGCCAAATACGCTTTGACCAACGACTGCAAGCTTTATCCTTTATGCTTTCCCAGTGTCGTCCGGCTTACGCGGGCCTTATTACTCACTTCTACAAAGTATCGGAAAATGTAGTTAAGAGGGAGAAGGTATCGCTTTTGTTTAAGGGCGAGGACTTGAGTGCAGAGAAGGATGAGTAGCCGACGTTACCTGTGCTTCTATTCTGTTTTATGCGAAAGAGTATAGTTCTAACCTAAGTCTCAGTAGGGGTCGGGGTGAGATGATGACCTCGTGCAAAAAGCTAGGGTGGGGTATGAGTTGAATATTCAACTGACTCACCAACCCCTGTGCTCCTTTCCTCCTAAAGCTGGGGTCAGAAAACCGGCCAAGGGACGTTCCTGAGCAAGTAGTGGGCTAATCTCCTTATCTCCACTCTAGCGTTCAATGCTGAAAAAAAGCGGAGGACTCCTAACTACATTATCACCTCCGATTTTCGATAGACATTCATAGATGATGTCAGTACAGAGCGAAATCACCGACTTGAAGTACCCGCTTCACTTCACATTACTCAACTCACCCGCAGCGTACAATCTACTTCATTAACCTAGCCACCACCAAGTTACTGCTTTATATAATAAATAAAAGAGATACGGAGGATAGAGGTTAAAGCGCTAGTTCAAATTAATTTTTTCTCGGCATGCATCCCCGAACTCCACTTCCACTAAGAAACGTAGTGGCGTATTTATTTATTTGAACACACCTCCAGGGTGTGCCCTTCAATCACATAGACAAAAGGAAACTCAAAAAAAAGAAAGTTATGGAAAATTGGCCTAAAGTAAGGGAAAAGAAACGCATAACACCAAAACAAGGAAAAAAAGTAAAAAGGTTAGAATTAGGGAAGCGATGAAATAAGCAGAGAGATCACACGACACGCCCAGTCATCAATGGAAACGAGAGAGGAGCTAGGGCACTTCATTGTGGGAACGATAAAGTTGCTTCCCTCTGTCAAGCAAATGAGGGGTTCCCCTGCAAGATCCTGGTCCTTGGTCCAGAACGCAAAGCGACAGGAGAACCTGGGCTTGCTGACAACTTAGTCCGTCATGAACGAATCCGTTCGGAACCCCGGGCCAGCAGACTAAGGGGGACCTCAAACGAGGAGGTTAATCAAACCAAAGGATCCTTAGGCAACTAGAATCCACAACTAAGGCCCACAGCCCTACGAAGCTAAATATGCTCTCTGCGTCGCATTCCACCTGCTTCGAAGAAAAGAAAAAATCAAGTAGGAGGAGATAAAAT